TCTTAAGTATCATTTCTTGTTATTTGGGGCTCAAGGGCTCTTTAGTTAGTAGCTGATGAATCCTACCAGGGTTTGGTTCTTCTCAAAGCAGCAGGTTCCCTTCTAGCCCAGGATGTATATAGAAATGTTGTCTGGGGGAACTCATGACTCTGCCCAGTGCCCTATCTTATTGTGGCTAAACTGTATTCAAGATGCAAGCCAAGGTCCACTTTTCTCTTAGTACTTTTTTTGTTTGTTTGTTAGAGACAGAATCTCACTTCTTCGTCCAGGTTGGAGTGCAATAGCATGATCTCGGCTCACTGCAACCTCTGCCTCCCAGGTTCAAGCAGTTCTGCCTCAGCCTCTCTGGTAGCTGGAATTACAGGCACGTACCAGCATGCATGGCTAATTTTTGTATTTTTAGTAGAGACAGGGTTTCACCATGTTAGCCAGGCTGGTCTCAAACTCCTGACCTGAATTGATCTACCTGCTCCGACCTCCCAAAGTGCTAGGATTACAGTTGTGAGCCACCACATTGGAAGGAGTCACTTTTGTTGCTGCAAGCTGCACTGCCTGGGGTTGTGGGAGGGATGATGCAAGCACTCCCTTTGCCATCCCAGCTGATGTGTCCCTAGGTCATGTAGCACCCTAGCCTACTGGCTCTATGCCTAGTCCAGCACTAGGACTTGCCTAGGAATTGCAGTCTGTGTGTCCCTGACTGCCTTTTAATTTTACCTAGTACTCCAGAGCCCTTTAGCCCTTGGTGGTGAGGCTTGCAGAGAAACTCAACTCCCAACCACTGGGATGAATGATTCCCCTCTGGCTAGAGCTGATCCAAATGCTCCCTCTGTGGGCAGGGGCTGGCTGAGCCTGGCTCAACTTTGCTCTCTGCTGTGACAGAACAGCACTGAGTTCAATATCAAGTCCTACAGTGACTGTGCTCTCCCTCCCTGAAGTGCTCAGATTCTCTCTTCATGCCACATTGCTGTTGCTGGGGAATAGGGAAGAGGTAGCATCAGTGATTCAAGATTGTGTCCTTTCGGTGATATAAAGTTAAATCCAGGTAATGTGACTGCTCACCTGACTTTTGGTTCTTATGACAGTGCTTTTTTGTTTGTAGTTAGTTGTTAGAATTTTGTGTTCCTTTGGGGGCAATTAATGGAGGCTTCTGTTTGGCCATCTTGCTCTGCTCCCCACCCCCCAAATAGAGGCTTAATTAATATTTTTAGTGAAAAATGCCAGTGTGGCATACAGGAAATAATATTGAATTGGGAGTCAGCATACTAGGGTTCTGATCCCAGCTCCATAATTAATTGGCTATGTGATCATAAGGAAACCATACAACTTTTCTTGTACTCAGTTATCTATTAAATGAGCTTGGATAATTAACACTTTACTAGAATCAAGAGACTTGTACATATATAGGAAGACATCTCTGATTTCTAGGTAGGGACAGGTAGCGATGGCTTGTCTGGAGTGGGTAGTGATGTCCTATCTGAATGATATAAACAGACTATAAACCAACATAAACGGAAAAGCTGCCGAACGCTTGGGGTTAGTTCAGTTTGAGTCCATTCATAAGACGGATTCCACACAGTAATTTGGACAAGGGAAAGTTTAATATAAGGAGTTATAAGGAGTTGTTAATTATATTAACAACTGTAGGAAGAGACTACAGTAACAAAAGATTGGCTACTAAGAAGTAAAGAGAATGCTAAACAATATAAAAATAGCAGATACAAAGATCAGCCACTATCCCTAGAACTGAGCTAGAACACCCAAAAAAAGCTCCCTGCAATCAAGGTTGAGATCCAGACCTTGTTTGGGGAGGTCTTTGGGAGGTGATTAGGTGACAGGGTAGAGCCCTCATGATTGAGATTAAAGCCCTTATAAAAGGGTCCCCAGAGAGTCCTCCATGTGAGGATACCACAAGAAGTCAGCAGTGGGCAGCTGGAAGAAGGCCTTTACCAGGAATTGACCATGCTGGCTCTCTGATCTCAAATTTCCAGCCTCCGGAACTTGACAAATAATTTCTGTTGTTTATAAGCCATCCACTCTATGGTGTTTTAACAACCTGAACAGATCAAGACATTGTCGAGGGCATGGCTGTGGCTCCCAGAGTGGCTGAGAAACCACTGAGGTACCATACCAGTGGAACCTGCTGAAAATCCCCCCTCTAGGGTGCTTAAGGAGTCACCCATACTGTAGGAGCTGGGCACTAGAGAAGCTTTGTGCTCTACGTAAGCTGGACACTGGAGAAGCTGCCCACACTGCAGGACTGCCAGGAGAGCTCACTGGAATCAGGGAGCAAACCTGATTCTCCTGCGTCGTCTCTTGAGCACACTCTACTAGTGTAGCTTAACCTTGTGTCAGCTAACAATGAAAACTAAAGGGCCCAGTTTCATTTCACAGAGCAAGCAAAAAGGATAACTTTGGATCAGATGCACACTAAATCCATAGCTTGCACTGGCGGACATCAAAAGCAGCTTCCTAAAAGAGAGAAGTTCATGAAATGTGTCTTATTGTACCTTGGCAATCATTTGTTCCAGAGGCAACCAACCAGAGGCCTGCTGACCAAACCAAGTCCCTATGCACAGTAAAGAGCCTTAAAATTTTGAATTTGAATGCTTTAAGGAAGGCCAAACCTGTTCTAGTTTATCATAGTCCTCAGTAACTCTCTAGGATCTTAAGCTCAGCAGGCAAACTTCATACAAACATATGCCAGGCCCACATAAGCATCTGAGCATGTGGTCCTGAACTATCTAACCACTTCATTTTACAGGTGAGGAAACAGGATGCTTAAATGGCTACTTCTGCTCCTACTCCCATCTCTGTCATAGTCAAACAAAACAGGAGGGAGGTAATACATAAACCTTCCTTTAGTGCTGATTTTTCTCAAACATTTGCTTCGAATTTGGGCAGTTTGTATTGCACAGATTTTGCTCATTTACATAAAATCATGATCGTTGGAAGAAATATGTTCAGGTAATTCTCTGAGGCAAGAAAATAACCAAATGCTCACCCAGACTTGTTTCTCCTTCGGTAACTAGCCTGGTATTAAGTATGCCTTAATGTAAAATCCCATCCAAAATATCCTAAAACAAAACCAGCACTTCACAATGTGTAATTAGTCCTATAAGAACATGCCATTGATTCTCCTATTCTCCCCTCTCTCGAATTTTCAGAGCCATTACTTTCCACCTGATGAGGTTGTAGAGATTTCTATCACTTCACCATTATGGGAAATCTATGCTATTTTCATTAAGTAACTAAATGTTAGACCATTTCCAATTCTTAAATAATTTCATACTCTTGGCAAGGGGGGAAAAAGATTATTCAAAGTTATTTAAAAGTTTTTACAGGATTGCAAATAATTATAACAGTAGCAATGCCTTACTAATGCAGAATACTTTATGGTTTATAAACATATATAATATAAAATGTTATGTAATATAATACATGTGACATAGATTAAATATACAGAATTTCATCTGAAATAACTCTTCAGAAATTTTACTTGCTAGAAAAATTAAAGATGCTAAGGTGAAAAATAATTCGAAAGCATTTTAGTTCATTCCAAACAGAAACATAAGCCTATTTTATTTAAAAATAAAAGACACCTCCACACATTGATAACAACTGAAATTTTAGGTAAATAAGTGAGTTTCAGAAATTATTCTGGGGCACAGTATTTGTAATCAAGAGAAAAAAAGCGGATGTGGTAAAAACTTGGAATCTGGAAATCAGGGGACATGGATTTCTAAATCTTCTCTGCCCATAATGGATCATCATTCATCTTCTCAAAGTTTTGGTTTTTCAACCCATGTTGCAGGTGGGATTCCATATTCCTTTATAATTTTTGCCCTCCCTCTCCCCATAAAGGCAGTGAAGAATTCCTATCTCCTTCATCTCATTTGTCTTTCTTTGTCTTCACCCCTGATAAGGAAGGAATTTGGTTTGTTTTCTTTTTCTCTCTCTTTTTTTTTTTTTTTG